AAAAAAAAAAAAAAAAAAGGAAAACCAAACTAACCAAAAAAAGATCGTCGACAAATGCCCCGAATGCGACTCCAACCACCTCGACCTGTTCCAGTCCGCCTTCGCCGAGCTAGCCGACATCTCCAAGGGCGTCATCGACATCAACTGGTCGTACGTCTCCTGCGACATCGACTCGCCCCTGAAACTCAAGAACAAGGAGGGTACCTCCGCGTACTGGTTCTCGATGCAGGTCGTCAATGCCAATGAGGCTGTTACCTCGCTGGAGGTTAGTACGGACGGTGGAAGCACCTGGCAGAGCACGACCCGCTCGAACTATAACTACTTCGAGAATAGTTCGGGATTCGGGACGGAGACGGTTGATGTGAGGGTTACGGGGAAGAGTGGCAAGGTTGTCACGGTTAAGAATGTGGGTGTTTCTTCGGGCACGGAGGTTACTGCGTCTGGAAATGTTTAGGGGATGGTGTTGTTCTGTTGGAAGTAGTGTATAGTGCGCTGCTTTGGTCTGAGTGGTTGAGTCGTTGCTTGGCTGTTGTTGTTGTTGGTGGTGGTGGTTTGGTTGGTGAAGTTCGTTGCTGTTCTCTTCTCTACGATGCATTGGTTATCCTTTGATGGGACGGCATTGGGGTGGTCAGTTCGTAACCCTAGTGCTCATTCCTGTATGTCAACATTCTATTCTCGGTACATATTGACTTGAACATTTACCAAGTTCGATTTTGGGGTACCACTATGGCGTGATACAAACCTACGCCATTCAAAGCATGTAAACAACCACAAGGATGTTCTCATCTACAGGACGAGATTGAAAGTGAAGAATTGCATTCCGATATCGCGGGATTCAGCATCCGTATTAATCACACTCCCAGCCGTAGTTTCGCCGACCCATCCTTAAAAAGATAGCGTACACGAAGAATAAAAGAATAAAGAAAAAAAAAATTCCACAAGGGTAACGCAAATAGAGAAGAGAACATAGCAGAAAACCGAACCCAGGCTTAAACAATTAGCGTGGAAAGACTAGTCACGTACTCACTCCCGTGGAAGATAAACTCAGACTGTACCTGCAAATTTCAATAAAAACACGATGTCGTTGCTAGATGACATCATAGCAAATCTGGAAAAGTTTATTCAAGGGAGGGAGGACAATCGAAATGTGAAGAGGAAAGGAGATGTCGAGAGAGGGTGGTTATGTCAGGGTTCCCAGCCTTCAAAAAGAGAAGTAAATAAGTCATGGCACGTTTAGAACGGAACGAAGATCATCGCAGAAAGGAGTCTCGCGACTAATGTGTACGTAACAAAGAGAAGTGAACCGGATGTCAAACCTGGCCCTGATCAACCTCCAGAGGTTCCAGCTCCTTGGCCTCCTCATAATCGTCGAATTCGAGGCCCGCATCGCGACAGCGTTGCAACCACTTGAGCGCAATGTCTCCACGGCGATTGACCTCGACTTTTAATTTGGAGTTTTGTGCGCTGATCTCGTTGATGGCATGACTCGTAGTCATGTTGTTCTGCTCCCATCGTTCGCTCATTGCCTTCTTTTCGTCATGAAGCTGACAGATGTACTCGATCGCGCGTTGCAGAATAGCACCCTTGTTCTTGTCGCAGTTTGGAACAAGACGAGCAATCTGATTGATACCTTCATTGATCGCCTCACGGCGTCGGCGTTCCACTTGGGAACCAGTCAGTAACAGAATCGAAAGAAAGCAGGGAACGCGACCGACCTTCTTTGTGATTGTTCTTGCGGATCTGATGCCATTCCGGCGACCCAACGGAGGGCTTTTGGTTCATGCTTTGTGCTTCACGCGCAGCATAGACAGCAGCGGCAGTAGAATTGTGACCATGAGCGCCACCTATCGCTTGGCCCATTTCATCTCCGAACGTCAGGCCATGTGGAAGGCTACTGTCGAATGTCGCGTCTGGGGGAGGTGGGTATTTGTTCTGCGGTTGGTGCGCGGCTAAAGCAGCTTTAGCTGTCAGAGCATTCTCATCAGAGATACCGTTCTGCGGACCGACATGTTGGAGAATTTGCTGGTCAATATTAAGCTCGGATGCTGCACCAGGGAGGCCATGGGTATCGTAAGACCCGAGAGAAGCATGGCCGAAAGTAGGTTGGGTGTCTGGGGCTGGAATGCTGCCGTTACTTCCGTTGGAGGAGCGGTTCAATCGCTGAGCATCAGGCCCGGTGCTGTCAGTGCTTTCGCGCTTTCGCTTATTGTTCAAGCCATCAGTGGCACCCAATGAGGGATCGGACATGACGCCGAGTATTACAAGTGAACTACCCTACAAACAAGCGAGTCAGCAGACCAGTGAAAAGGAGCGTCGGTGCGCCCTGCTTACCTGCTAGATAAGGTAGACCTGAGATAAGATTGGGAAACCACGCTCCTGCACAGCTACTGACACCAATCTATTGTTGAGTGAGTGATCTATGAACCATGTGTTCTTGTCAGTGATCGCAGCTCAATGGTCAGTAGTGCAGATGCAATTCTCATAGAAAGCAGAATGAGCTGTGTTAAAATATGATGGGAAATGTCAATTTAGATAGAAAATCATTCAATCAATAGAAAAGCGTGAATATTGCTGATCAGTATTGATGTTGAGGTAGAGTGGGAGACGCGTTCGGGGGGTTGACGCGCGCATCTCCGCATCCGCATCAATAACATCTGGTCAGTGAGATTATGCCAGCGGCAAAGCACAACTCTTCACATATACCACTAAGTATATGGATCGCGGCTGCATACATAAAAGCATAGGATAGAGATACATCAGGCAGTATCGATCAGCAAGGGACTACAGTCCAGACGCGCCCTGGCAGTTTTGCGACCGACGAAACCGCGCGACATCATAGGCAACGGTCTCCTCGCGACCGGTTCATGGCGGAGAGCATGAACACCAGGGCGATGGACGGGACAAGAGCAGGAGCACCGTGCCGCAGCAACCGAGGGTTGTTGCGGTTGACAGAACGGAGAACAAGGAGGTAAACGAGAAGAAAGGGAGCAGCAGTACCTTGGGATGGGCTATCTATCACCTGACAGCAAGTCACCTGCCACGGGCAACAACAAGATAGGATGATCGCGATTCGATCGTGAGAGCAAGAAAACGAAATTTGTACCGGGAAGAAATGGTCGAGGCAGAAACGTCCGGCGTCAACACAGTGGACAAGTCGGATTTGAAAACGAACAAAAAGAAGTGGCGGCTTTTACAATGGAAAGTAGGGATACATGGAGGTGTAGAGAGAGAGTCGAGTAGAGAGGGATTGCTCACGTGGCGAGGGCGAAAGACGAGGTCAAGCCTTTGGCCAAAAAGAGGAGGAATGCGGTGACCGGTTGTGACCTGGTGTGCACTCGAGTCACGGGATAACGGAGCCTCTCTCTTTATCTCTTTCCTTTATCGATCCACCGATCATTCCATCGCAGGAACAACTTGGGGAAGTTCTTTGCACCGAGCCAGCCCGCTCATTATCAACCAATCTCTGTCCCTCCCAAGTTAATCCAACCGGTTTTCTTCCTTCCCTCCTTCTTCCTCATCCAGATGTCATGTGCTGTAATCCCGTGCCCCCTCCTCACCCAAGGCCCCCGTTGGCATCGCTGATTGGCTGCGTGTTTTCGCCTTGGCCGGTTGCCGGAGGAGGGGTTCACCCGGAAATCACGTGGGCCCTTGCAGCCCTCCTGAACGAGGAGCGGACGAAGATCATGAACTCTTAGTAACTCTGCAATGTTTCCCCAGGTCTGCAGTGTTCCTCGAATAATGGCCACTGCCCTCTCATGCAGGATGGTGTCATTGGAGGACGAAATCCCCTCCATTTGGGAGTGCCTGCTCATCCCGACCGGCCCGTCCCTCCTTTGGTCCCTGCTTAGGTTGCATGGTCCAAAACGCATAGTATCAGTTGTTTAGTCGACGAATGACGGGGATCATGCCATGTCCCTCGATTTTTCCTCTGTGAGATGCCGATCGCCCTGGTCTGCCTGGTATTCGAGGTATAATAGCATCACTAACCTAACCGCCCCATCCCCCCTCGATCTAATCTTCCAGGAATCATTCAACGTTTCCAAGTTCAAGTCTGCCGGGGTTTCTGAGCCCCCTCATTGGCAGAAAAAACCATCTCGATAGTTCAATAGCTCAAAATTGAGGACACCTTCCCAAAGAATCGTGGTCTCAGTTGACAGACGCAGTAGAAGTCTTTCGCTGAACCTTCCGGACTTGAGATACTCTCCCATTGGAGCTCAGCGGGTTTTCTTTATCCCTCCATCATATTTAGCTTACTGCCCCCCAAAGAACATGACTTCATCTGACCCTAGTGTCACATGTGCCCACTGCGCGCATATTAGAGGCTCAGCTTCCACCCCCCAAGTTGCGTTCTTCACTCAGCGGCAGTGTCCAATCTGCGGCCTATGGTTAGTGGGGATGTTTGCTAGGGTTGTAGTAAGAAAAACCTGTTCTCACCCATCAAGATTGACTTCTCGACACCATCTGGAAAGGTGCCGATCAATCTGGTCATAAGATGAGTGGAATGCTAAAGAAAAGGACGGGCGCGTGAAGAAAGAGGGAGGTACTGAGACGATAGTTTATCGGGGCTACTGCCTGAGAACCTATTAAATGGTTATTCTCCGGACTTTTAAATCTAGAATCCCCCCTGTCTTTGCAGAAAAGAAAGAAATGTCACATGGACCAGCATTCAGTATGACTGTCAAGTGACTCACATGACTCTGGGACGTGGAAGTGTGGCAAGACGTTTGTCGGAATGCTGGCCACTCGTGAACTCACTGTACGATTACCGTTGCAAAAGAGGCATAAGACGTGCGACGATAGTTGAATAGATGGAAGAGAGTAGTTCGCATGTTGTAGCATATTGAGGATCCCGACCACCCAGCTCTCGTAGGAGGTAGGTGAATAGACCATTACAAGTATGAGAGCCCCAAGCATGCTATACTTGCCATCGACCGGCACTTATGAAAGGATACTATTATTGCCCGAGCCATGGATACGTCGCCACAGCTCAATCACATTACCTACTAGCTTTAACTAAGCCGAAGACCATTTTTGGGTCCATCGTAGTATCCGCAAAGCAGATCCCTTCGGCTGTCGCGGCCATCATATCCCAGCAGAATATTTTCACATCAAACGGCGATGTATCCTTGTCCCCACTCTCATCCTCACCAGACCCATTCCCAGAACCTTTGTCCACAGCACTGGTTTCTCCATCGGCCGAGGGGCGGCGCGGCCGTTGCGTAACAGCAATAATAGCACTCGTGCCAGCGTACAGAACCGGGTTGGTTCCCTCAGGACCTGGTTCGTCTCCGGCGCGATTCGCAAAAACAATAACAGTCTTCTTGCCAGACTCCGCATCATCCCCATCAAAGTTCACCTCATGACGCAATCGTTTTTTGATGAGGGGCCAAAACCGCTGGATCCAGTAGTTGAAGGTATCCATCTCCGGCTCGCCAGCGAGAGCGTCGAGCTCTTCCCGGCCCAAGGATGTGAGCCAAGCCATCGAAAGGACGACGAGTTGAGACTTCGAATCCAGCACTCGGTTCGCGAACTCCCATGTGGTGAACGGCGTCTCGAACTTATACGGGTTGATATCCATGCATATCCCGAATGAAGTGGCAACGTTGGTGCCGGGAGAATTCTGCTCTGGTGATTTCCCAAAGGTAAGCTCGCGAAAGCCCCGCTTCACATCCCCTTCGGCGGCCCATGTCTCGTCTGTATAGTACAGAAACGCCTTGCGGTAGTTGTGCAACACCTCCCCGTTCTCGTCAACCACAAGAAGAGAGTTGTAGTACGTCTCCTGCTGACTAGTCGAACCGTCTCCTTGGCTTACCCCTGCTTCCTCGACCTCAGGATACCCAACGCACACTTTACATCGATACCGCCTAGCAGTCTCTCGTGCCCACGCGGCTGATGGGCCCTTCCCCGCAGGCTCCAGATATGGCCTGATAGCCTGCAGCGACGGGAAGTTATAACCTTCGCACAGAGCATCAGCATAGGGCGTCCATAAAGAAAAGATCAAGATTTACCACAACAGAACATACCAGTCAAAGCCAACTCAGGCAATACCAGAATCTCCGGTTTCAAGACGTCGACTCCGATGCCAACGCCTCCTAGCACTTTGCCATTCTGCAGCAATTCATTGGCGCGGCTGATGTTGCCTTCCACGTCCCCCAGTTTCGGGGCGAACTGTAAGGTGGCGATTCGCATTTCCCTGCGCTGCTGGTTGTGTGTACGCAGAACAGGGAATGGTGTGAAATGTGGATGCTTTGGCGGGTATCTCCTCTGGGTACTAAATGCAGCGCACCTATGCACTGCAGGAGAGCGGATGGCGAATACGGACGGTCGACACTGTAGGCCGAACCCGGTACAAAGAGTATTTACTTGCGTTGGAATAGTAATGGTGGCGATATATTTTGGCAGTCCTTTTTCCTTTTTGTAAATAGTATCAAAACGATGAGTAGCGCCGGTTGATTGAGAGTTCGATGGGTGATGTTGTTTGTTCTGATTGGTTTCGCTGTGACAAAACTCCCCGTGGTGTGTGGGGTTGGGCGGTGGGTCTGGGCTTTGGTTCGTAGTATTGTCCTGCACCTATTACTACTAGGTGGACTTACATATAAAACTACCTCAAACTCTGCTTGTTCAATGTCATACCGGATCGCTTTCAATGGAGAGTAGGTGTCCTGTGTTCTAAAGGCGGCTGGCTAAGTACTCTCTATCTGTAAACGAGTAGTGGATCCGAAATCATACAATTTCATCATAGTACAACAATCCCTTGGACAAGATGCATTCAATGCATTCGATGAAATACAAAAAAGAAAAATAAAAAAGAACTGCCTAGACTGAATGTAGGGGCAAAGGAATCCCACTCGCTAAGATCCAGAACAAATCGAGGTATATGATCTTTCCCGCGCCATGCTTGAGACCCAGGTACTATGCAGTAACTCTCAACACCATATGTAAACATAGAATTCGCTGAACGCCGTCTCCCAATGCAGATATTGAACTCCAACAAAACCAATATAATATGTACTTAAATGGCTCTACCGAAAGAACCAACCTCAGCCATGAACGCATATAACTGTATGAGATTGAAGATCCCCATAGATGCGCAATCCTGTTGCTGTTGATTACCGAACCGTCTTTTATTTAGATTTTCGTTTCTTTTTAGGGGTAAAGTCCAGTGGCTTATAGGCCAACCCTTTGCCACCCGTCAGGCGAAGTCTTTGTTCGGTGCGAGATAATGTGCGGCCCAGTCCGAGATCGGTGTCAGGGGCAAGTGCAAGGTCATACCCGTTCACAAGTGATTGGGGCGACTGACTCCGGGAGAAAGAATACGACGAAGAGAAACTGCTTCGAGGGCTGAAAGACGAGCGCCGAGGTTCAGATGACCTAGTAGACCAGCTGTTTATAAGTCTTGGGCCGCTCCTGAGAGATTCAGCGGCTATGCGGGCAGCAGAGAGGAGGAGTTCATCCTCGTCAACTTGATTAGGCTTTGGAGGCTCTGGTTTGGATTCGGCTGCCGGCTTCCGCGTCATGGACTCGATTTGTTCTAGGATAGGAAGCTTCGGTAGAGGTTTGATAGAGGAAAGCGCCATGGACTTTTTATGTAAAACAGGGGTCTCGGCTTTCGGCACTTTCGCGGCCTTAGAGCCGGCTTCTACCGGCAATTCTTCTTCGGGGTCTTCATGGACTCGCTTGCGACTTATCGAAGAAGTCCTCCGTCGCTTATCAGCTGCTTCTCTTAAGGTTTCTATCCATGCTAAACGTCGATCGTTCACATCGGGAGCTGGAAAACCATATTAGCGATACACTGCACAAAGGGGTAGTCTTGCTTTAATGCCACAAACTAACTTACCGACAGAAGTGGCCTCGTCCACAGTAGGCTCTGTAAGCTCTGTAGGCAAAGGAGATGTGGAATTTAGATTTTCCGGCTTGACAGATGTTGCCGGGCCCGTGGGTTCTGCTGGTCTGGTTTCTTCTAGCGATGATGAATTCATCTCCTGTTGCTGCTGGGCAGCGTCATTACTGTGTAACGAAGATTGTCCGTCGTTTGACGCAGGTTCTTCGGTTGTCCTCTTTGTGAACGTAGGTGCCTCATATTTTGCAGGTTGCTCTTGCCCTGCATTGCTATCTGTGGGCTTCTCAATAATGGAACTCGACTGCCCAGAGGTTGACTCGGATAATGAGGGTTTGGGAATCCCTGGGGAGTTATTAGAGCCTCCTATGAATGAGCTTTTGTATTGGGCACGAATCATACCGTTATTCTCTGACGAAAATGGGGATATAAAGGTTGTTGGAGACTGCGCAAAGGGTCCCTGCGGGAGCTTCGGAGAACCTGTCTGGAGCGGGCTCCCTGTATCGCTAGGGACAGTGCTCTGAGCAGCAGCATTAAATACAGTGCTGGGCGCGCCCGAAGGGGTTGGTGCATTGGCGGTATCGAATATACTGGAAGGTTGGCTAGCAGTCAACTCAGCAGCTTGATGAGGCTTGGCATCAGATGAGGGTGTCGGAAAACTAAAAGGTGAGTTGGTCGGCGTCGTACTGGGTTGAAATAGACTAGGAAATTTGAAGGCAGGTGCCGTGGAGATAGCGTTAGGCGCATCGGGTTTGTCTTGCTGCGACGCCGGACCCGGTGGTGCGCTAAAAATGGATGTGGACTGCGAGGTGTTCGGCCCAAATGAGAATGGAGAACTGTTGCTGTTTGTCTCAGGTGTCTTCGAGGATGGGAGAGAAGACAGGCCTGCAAATGGGTTAGGCGGCGCCGATTCTGTGGGAGCGCTAGCTGAGGGACCAGGTGCGAATAATGAGGAGAGTGGTTTAGCACTCTCGGACGGCTGGAACATACTAGGCGTCTGGGAGAATACGCCTGCTGTTTGTGTCGGCTCGGCACTTGTTGATGTTTGTGTAGATTCCCCAAAAAACCCGCCAAGACTATCTGCGGATGTCGGCATATCCTGCACTGATCCATCCTGCGCAAAGTCCCCACTTGGTTGTGGTGTCTCGTTATCTTCGTCGCTGACAAACAGTGCATCGTCGTCTGCAGAAACCCCCGTTGTTGTCGCAGACAAAGCCAGAGGGAGCTCTTGTAGAACTGAGCTGTCAACCATCCCTAACTGCGCTGCTTGCTTGATATTCAAGCCAAGAATTATTGCGACCAACGTGCGGCCTGCACGCTTTGACTCGACATACGTCTCTGAGAATGTATGGTCTGATGTTCTTCGGAACTCTGTTATTCAATGGGTCAGTCGAGGAAATGCAGTAAAAAATTGGACGAATATCTAGAAACATTCCCCCAATATCCGGTCAAGCGAAGGCCACTTCAACTGGCAAAAGAGATGAAGCGGTTTCATCGTCGAGGGTTACACATACCGACTGAGTCAATGTTACGGCTTCCCCAATTCATATATAAGTCGCCATTTGCGTTTTCAGCAAATTCCAAGTCCTGTTCTTCGCAAAATTTGATAGTCTGCTCAGTGTCGTCAAAGTATAGCACCCTCGTTAACTCATCCACAGTCCATTCTTCGTTTTTATGTTGTTGAGAAGACGGATATCGGCAATACCCCTTCCAAATCGAGCGGATAGCAGTCAATCGCACGTTGTTGAAATAGATCTCCGCAACACAGGCCATCAAATATGAAACAGCGGGAGAGTCCACCAGACTGAAAAAGCGCCCGTAAAAGCCCTGTGCAATTGCATTTTGCCTTTTAGAGTCGAGAGTCCCCTGATACTCCCACCCATTACCAGCAGCAGCCAGTAGTTCCAGTGCTAATTGCACCCGCGGAGAATTGCGTAGTTCAGCTGGCCACTTTTGCACACGCGCTTCCAAGTCAGGCCGCTGGTCGAGAATAGAAAAGATAATATAATACGCGCGGAATTCATCTTCGTTTGGAAACGAGATACGACTGCGATTGTCGTCATAGTAGTACATTAGCGACAGCATCGTATTGTTAAGCTGTTCACGTTCCTGGTGATGATCGAACGGTTCTTCGTTGGCAGGGCTAGAAAGCAAGTGGAGTGATACAATGTGAAAACGGGCAATTCTCTCAAGACAGGTGACTGCCATTTTCACATGGTCTTCCTGGGTAAGTTGTTGGACTGAGAAGTCATTGCGAATAGATCGAGTTCGATCCCAAACGAACTTATGAATCAGCCCCAGGGGCTCGGGTCCGCCAATTACATGACGGATTAAGTAGTTCATGGTCTGGAGAAGGGCCTTTGGTGTTCGGATATCGGATGGAAGTTGCTCGTCATAGCCAGCAGCCGATCTTCGGAAACGTTTGAGCATTTTTGTTTCGAGATTCTGCAAGGAATTCGTTGAAGGGTGAAGCAACTAGGTCCGGAATGTAAGTGCAGGTCGAACAGCGATACGGATTGACACGAATACCTTCTCACTCTTATCGACCATCTTCTGAACGATGCGCTCAACGCGTTCAAACTCCGGACACATGCTAGTACATGTTCCCACAGGTGTAATAGCTTGGTTCAAAGAAGTTGGTTGGTTTGGATCCGCCATCTGTCCTTCCCTGATGGCTTTCTCTCTCTGTTTAGCCCTATCGAGTTTGAGCTGTGTATCCCATTAGCATGTTAATCCACTTCTCTGTCCGGATAGCGAATGAAGACCGACCTGTTCGTAACGATCGTTGTAGTTGTTTGAAACAGACACATCTTCGACAGGTACATTGGACATGGTCGCCCCGTTTGGCCGTATTGAGGAAGGCCGCTTTCGGGGATCACGACTTGAATCGACCTGGGTCCCATCGAAAGTGGAAGGGGCCCCAAATGACGGCGCTTTCCCGAACCCGGGGAAAGAAGGTTTTTGCGGAGCAGGCTTCCCAGCGAAGGGCGATGGAGAGGGCTGGTTCCCGGTCTGTTTCAATTGAGCGAAAGGCGAAGCCACATTTGCGGATGGACCACCGTTCGAGTCGGGTTTGCGCCAGGTATTTCCCATAGTACCACCTCCTCGGCCGTGGCCACGAGTAGCCCTGGGAGCCGTCATTGCTCCGCGTCCGCGTCCACGGGCTCTGGGATTGTGGGGCACATTTCCATTTTTGGCTTGATAAGGCGCCGAACGCCCAAGTGTACCACCACGTCCACGACCTGCTGTTCCCGTTGTGCCGTCTTTCTGGCTAAGGCCAGCAAATGGGTTTGGCGGACCGGCCATTTTGTCGCAAGCAAGGCGGGAACAGTGGACAAGGATACGCGTGAAGTGGTCCGGGGCTTCCCCTCTCGCGAGGTTATCAAGTTTAGTCCGATTAGATTCCAATCATTGACAGGAGTTGCGGGCCGTCGGATGTGAAGGCGGAAGGCGATGAGTGAGATATTCTAAAAGTGCTATCCTCCGAAAACCATTGGCAGGAGCGTGACGAAAGAGTTAGCCAAGGATGGCGCCGGAAGTAACACAGTTTTCATGGTAACACGATCGAGAAGAAAGAGAGGGTGAATAAAGGGAAAAAGAAATGGTGAAGGAACAATGATGTACGGGACCTGTGGCTAAAGCGAAAGCAGGAAACGATGATGGCGCAGTACCTTTCGATGCGAATATTGACAATGAAAAGTCTTCCTCAAGACAGAAACAAGGTCATACACAGAAGCCTCTGCAGCAACACAGGAGCTGCGACGTTGCAAGCCAGATTGGATGGGGCCTGTGATCGTGGGGAGAAACCTCCGCGCGGGCAAACCGGTCGTCCAAAAACAACGGAAGTTCGGTAGGAATACGCGCAATTTCGGAGTGCGAAACTAGGGTGATTGGTTTTAAGTTGGCTCGGCCCGTTCAGTTTGATCGTCTCGAATGAGGAGTGCAGAAGGGGGATTATGGTTGGTTTCTATCCAGTCTTCAGCGAAGCTCTGTCAGCTGCACCTGCGTCAATGCCCGGTAAACGCACAGACCAATTTTATCAAGCGCTCCTAACGCGCGCCTAGCTCCAGTGGGCTGTCGCAATTGACATCGGCTTATTGATTATCCGTCCCTCCTACTCTGTTCGCTTTCTTATCCACTACTAGTTCAGGATTTTGGATATTTCAAAAAAAAAAATATATGGATTCAAGAAACAACTTAAAATACGTGCATCACGCTTTTGAAACCAATATCGCTCCACAAAACCCAGAAAGCCACTGTGGCCACAATTACGCCCACCGCTTCTATAACCAATAAACCCTCGTTTCAGGCCGTCGCTTCTGGTTTCAGAAGCCAGGAAGCACGTAGCCTGTATATGGACGCCTTCGCTCGAATACTTCATAAGAAAAAAATCCACACAAAAATAAAAACAGGGAAAAGGGAAAAATATCTGCGGCATACATCCGTCCCAAGGCGCCGTCAAAGAATTTCTGTTCAATGCATAACGTGTAGTTGCAAAGATTGCAATCAACTAGAAGGAAAAACGTATAAAGAGGCGTAACGTATGTATGGAGCCTGAAATATGAATCAAAGAAGCGAAAGTCACCAAGTGGTGACAAATTTGTCTGAATGGGAGTGGGTGGTGAAATCGCGAAGCAGCAGAAGTCTATTGAAAGTTCATACAAATCGTGCGTGTCATTCGAGCTCAGACTAAGGTCGCAGCTTTAATACCTGGATAGAAGATGTGCCGGAGGTGTTTATGCATGGTGAGGTATCATGTGAGGGTGACTCAAGGATCCCGCGCGGAAAGGGGTGCCTTTCGGCAGACCATGAGGAGTATGAGCCAGCTCTGTTGCGTGCGAAGTGGTAGTGAGCGGCATGTGGTAAGGCATATGTTGAGGAATGTTCTGAGCGGGCGCAGAGCCATAGTCCATGGGATTGAACATGCTCTGTCGGTATGATGGTGTCCAGGCATCGAATTGACTAACGGATGGCTGCATAGGCAAGGCGGTTGGACGCTGGTGAGAAATGATCGGCTCTCCTGTTGTCGAAGCTGAGAATGGAGCCTGTAAGTAATCAAACGCATTGGGCTGTTCGTTTGGAGTCACAAGTCCCGGCGTTACGGGTGTCTTAAGAATAGGATGGGAGTATTCATCCGGGTACTCAGAGTTGCCGTAGTATGAGCGTTCATGCGCAGATTGCTCTCCGAAGCTCAATGATTCAGGCAATGGGAACAACTGGCCCCTTTCCCCCCCCATGTGCACGGGGCGGCCATGTCCACCCATAGTCATGTCCACGGAGGACGTGAACGAGGAAGCTTGCTCGGCCGATGATGGAGGTGTCAGGAACTCGTCATCAGCTTCCTCCAGGTCTTCGGGCTCCAACTTTTGTTCTGGCTCACTGATGGTGTCGGAGTCTTTGTCCTTCGCACTGGCGTCTCTGTTCTGGACATAAACAACACAGTTCGCATCTAGTTAAAGCATTAGCTTGAGATAGGGCCGAAGGTCTATAAGTTAGACATACCAACTTCACCAAGTTCATATCTCTCTTCCATCCTCCGTACTTTGAAAACCTCGTCCAAGACCTCAATCTTCGAGGTAGGTCTCAGTTGTCTCTTAGAATCATGCGCAACTTCTTGCAGCTTGTCGGGGGTGATTCCGAATTTCCCGAGCTTACGCACGATGTGGATAAGGAGTCGAATGCGTTCTAATGGTTGTGAGTATGGATAGCCTGTTTATTGGGGGTACGTATCTACTCACGCTCTTTCCTGAGGTGGTCGGGCTCCTTGTGGACCACTCCCGCTGGCCACCACTCAGGCTTGGTCTTCTCCGGGTCTCCCTTCTCACCCGAGGCAGCTCCAGCTCTGGGCTTGCCTCCATTGTAAGGATGCTTCACTTGCTTCCGAGGTTCAATGAATTTAATAAAAGCTTTGGCAATCTGGCGGCAATTAAGCTGCTGGAAATGCTTCAAGGCATTCTCGTAGTACTCGAGGATTTTCTCAGTGTCCCCGATCTCAATGCCTACCATGCTTGTGGAGGCAGGTACTTCCTCAACAGGCTCAGGGAAATGTGGCTCAAGAGCATGCTCCTGGAAGGAAGACTTGCGTCGCTTTACATGGCGAGAGAAGTCGTCGGGACGCGGGTAGCCATATAGCGAAGCTCCCATACCAGAGTATTCTAGCACTCAAAGTGATCAGTCGACCCGTGCATGAGGCTTAGGGGCGCGTTGTTATACGTACTGCGAATGGTGGGTCTGCGATACCCAATCTTGGCTCCCAGTATCTCCAAGAACTTATCCTGTACGTCGGGGGTAAAGACTGTACCGTTTGTTTCCCGGATAGACGAAGACTCTTGCACCTTAAGTCTTCCGAGGTTGTCGAGGTAGATCATTGCATAATGGGTGTAAGGGAGGTTGAATGATGTACGCATAGTTACATCCATAGCCTGTATGGTCAGTGATGGTCTCATATTGACTTGGCTTTGTTCTGCTTACTGGAGCGGTTTCCCATCCAGTATAATCATCATGCATAGAGGACGCTGGCCTCTTGACGGCTCCTGTGCCGGACACGGATGCACTGACAACCATGATGTCTTTGAGAAACGTTTAGATAAAGTTGCCAGTTAGGGGAAAGGTAGTAATCAGAGGATCTGAGTGGCTTTCTTATTCAAGAAAAGAAAGCTTGGTCAGAGATAGAGAGACTGGTAGACAATATGGAACATAGAGAAGGGCCTCGAGGTTTCGATGGAGTGTCGACTGAGCGCGAGCAAAGCGGCAATTTGTATCTGCTCGAGGTCCAGAAACAAATGCACTGCGATAGGATAGTTCAAGCCGACGCTGAGGGAATAACAAACCCCTCTCTTTCAAGTGACTTGGTCGAACAGGACGTGGCCGCGTTTGAGCTGGAAAACTACAGATGTAGTGGCAACTGTGGTGCCAACGGGCTTGGTTAGCTACCAGCTTGGTCATGGTAAGACGCAGTTCATCAAGCAACGAATTGCAATAGCAAGGCATATGGTACAACGTGGGGTCCGCAATCCCGCTGCTATCTGGTGTAATTCCCCGACAGTGCTGGCAGCATCCTGGATCCCCCCAATGTCCGTCAAACAGAGAGAGAAGTGGGAAAGTATGCATAGGCTCCAACTACTCACAGCACACAGCGATAAGCGTAAGTTGTCAAAAGCCAATCAAGGTGCTGACAGGCAAGTCGAGAGAGGATGTTAAGCTGTTGGTAACCGGCTTTGGGCACACAAGACGGAGTAAAATGAAGTGCAGCAGGGTTGAAGCGAATGCGAGAAGGTCTTCTTTCCTTTGAAGGTATGTATGTACTAGAAGAGGTAAACGGTTGGGTGTAACAGAGTTGTTTGACTTGGGGGGGAGTCAAGTCCTTGTTAAGTTCAGAGAAGGATGGGTAAGAGTGAAAAGTAGAAGTCACAAATAGCAAGGAAGAATGGGTGACTTTATAAAAGAAGATGGAGAATAGGAAAGGAAAGGACTGGGTTATGAGTATGCAAGATTTTGAATGATTGATCGATTACATCTAGACAGAAGAACCCACACCCTCTCCCCCGGGCATTTAGTTTCGTCGTCCACCCCCTCCCCGGTGGTGGTATCGAACTGTCCCAATCTGGAATTGGCATGATGGGCCTAGTAGTCAAGTGGGCAACCCAGGATCATCCATGATCCTGGAGCCCATCAGAAGCCGAAACACGACGAACAGGGACTACCAGGCACCGGTAGACCACTTGCGGCTGCATCTCTGGGAAGTGGACATGCAGTAGGGCGATTAAAAAAATGATTTTATGATTTTATTTATTTTAGTTTGATTTATTTTGTAAAAAAAAAAAAAAAAAAAAATGAAATTAAAAAATAATAATAACGTTATTATTATTATCATTATTTATTATGAAAATTTAATTTCTGACATCCTGGTTTTACTATTTGTAGATCGACCACTTTAGCTTTCTGGCAGCTGTGCAACCGCCCCCAGAGGCTTTGTTCGGAGCGGCCAGTGAGCAGCCTAGTGGCGTCTCCATTATTGGTCCCCACAAGCACTTTTGGCGACAAACCCTACCAAATAAATGTGCATTAAATTATTTTCCTTCATTTAATTAACGAAGTATACTTCAAAGTGACAAAAGCACCACACTAACCTCCAGAGCACTTTAGTCAACCTCACTAGTCTTTTAGTTTGGCTAAAGAATGCAACCGCCACATCCAGCTCCAGTGACCGTCGTTCGGGGACCATCTGAGACTTGGTTTTTCTGATCCCCTGGACGCTAGTATCGTTGGTAGATAATGCTTGCCGGTATAGCTGCCGAATTTGAGATAGAGAGATGATAGGGATCAATAACAATCTTGAGATAAGTCCCTAGAAAGAAAGAGAATATTCCATCAATCCGGTCTCTTTGCGAGCGCGACAAGTGTGCCAACTTTTGAACCCGTCATCTGGTACTAAGTCCGCAATCTCACTATCTTGTTAGGGTGCCTTTTTCTTTGGCCCTCAACCCCGCCTAATTAAACGTATAGCTTGGCCCTATCTAGCCAGCTCTTTACCTATCTACCTATCTACTGCCCCCTCTGGACATAAGAACACGATGTAGTAATAGAGTTACATTCTTCACCCCCCAGTTCGTCCAGCATTGGACCTGATGCTCCCCCCTCTCATTTGAAACTAGAGCATGTACACACCCTTTAATAAAGTATGGCATGTTGTACCGCAAGTTCATGGAACATGAACAACCAGCAGCCACCCTCCTGGGTGTCTAGATCCCGCACAGGCCCGCCTCTCGTCAGGTCCGTCCCACACAGCCCGCGCTTGGGCCAGACGGAGGGAAGAGTTTGCGTCTGTTTTGATCTGCTGAAGCGAATACACGCGCCATCCAGCTCCGAACTCAGGTGTCTGTGGACCAGAAAAAAAAGTACCTTTTGCTGATGCATGGTCTCAGAGTTACGTAGTGTTCTTGCGAATGCAATTCTGCAGATGCAGGTTGATCCTCTTCGGTTCCAGGACCCTTCAGGTGATGATACAACGCCAAGCGACGTATACACACGGAGTACGTATGTACATAGTTACCGTAGTGCGACTGCCGGCATGGGCAAGTCGGACTCGCCGAGTCATCGCCGTCGTCACCTGACCCAGCCAGCCCTCCGTTCATACATACATATACATGTACATATAACCTACCTGACACGAAGTGGCAATGATGAGATCATGCTCCTTGTACAACTGGAGGTCTTCATCGGTGTCACCGCTCACGAGCGACCGTTACATCTTTGGGGCGATAGTATACAGGTGTATAAATCTCTAACGAGCAATCGAACCATAGAGACCCGTATACGTAACTTGCGAACGGCGTAGATCCCCGACCCAAGCCGGAGCCCCGAAGTACCGACTAACTGGGCTATGATTGCGAACGGCTCTAAGGCAAAAGGACGAAATTGCGATGGGCCACGGGAGGGGAGAACCGTCGACCTTAGACTATGGGCCTTCGATCATGGGCGGATCTAAATACGATGTGCCCCGAGAGTTAGTCGCAGTTCCGGGTGAGCCAATGAACGGCGACAGTAGCTCCCAGAGCCGAAATGATCGTCCACCGTAGGAACGAAGAGGCTTGTGCATGGCCCAGAGTACTGGGATGTGGGATTTCTAGGCCTTGAAGCTAAGAGTCAGGAGTCGTCTGTCAACCCAACCCGTACCGGAGACATGGAATGGTTGGTTGTAGCTAAAGTACAGTACAGCAGCTATCATCGTAAGCAAACATTCGCCAGGGTCCTAAAAGCACCTCAGCTGTTGTTCTTGTCTTGTTGTCCCCTTCCTTCCCTTCAGCTCTATCGAATATTTGCCAATGTTAACGACTAGGTCAAATGCCGTTGCTAGCAATTTATGCACCATAGAGAGAATGAGGACAGAAAAAAGGAAAAAGGACATATGCACATAAAGATTGGTTCGTTGTTTTTATGGTGGGGGAAAAAAAAGACAGTTTGACAGTGTGGCAACCCCCTTTCGTTTATCCTAGTCGGGAATGTCCGGGGGATTGTTTCCGTCGCTAGTAAACGGAATGGCTCGCGCTACGACCACCACCGGACGAAGGCTTCATTGACATAGAAAACAAAGAAAGCAATGGGAGAAAATAAAGGGCCACTGGGATTGGTCCTAGTACATTTAGATTCGAGGAAACATCTCTTAGATCCGTCGCGGTTCCATGGTACCGCAAAGGTTAGGTCTGGATGCCTCTAGGCGTCTTCATTTGTTACGCGTGGGCTGCTTTGTACCTGGCTGTCGGGACTGATCAGGGGCAGCAAAGGCCACGCCATCTATACCAATCTTGCCGGAAGCCAGATCGGCGACCAGCATTGAGTTATCTGGGGACGTTCCCGAGAGTATATTCTATGCCCTATCGAGAATTATTTGTCAGGAGCAGAAAGGCCTAACTTGATTGCTAGTGGTTGACTCGCAATTAGCATCATGTATATTCTTTGTTACTGTTTGATGGGCTGGGAAGGGTAAGCTTTAGCGATTTACTTAACAAACCACATGGAAACGAATGGAATAAAACGGATTGGAGAGATTAAATCTTTCTTTCTTTTTTCACTTCTTCTTTTCTTTTCTTTGAATGTTTTTTTTTTCTCCCCTCGTTTCTTCCTGGTAACTCCAAAAAAGTACTACATCCCGTTTGCTTCTACGCGGGTTAAACCCCTAAGTGAAACCTGACTGCACAAAGAAAGTCGAACAGTTAGACAATGTACATAGAAACAGCTGCAAGACATAATTAGGATCCTCAAGGTTTCATAAGCAAACAGTTTGAGGGTGAGACGGAAGAGACATTCTGTCTTGAATATATTTCTCTGTGGAGTAGGGAGTACAACATAGCCCCAGTGTTCGGTTAACCATCTTGATAAGATATACAACTACTATTGACCGGAGCCTATACCTGGCGTACCTAGTCCCACAAAAGGGCTGTTGAGCTATGAATAGTCAGTCCCGCAAAAAAAAGAAAAAACAAAGGGGATGACGACGAGGCTATACTATAATGCTCCGTACACTTTCCATTAACAGTAAGAGACACCCAATCTCCCCCTTTCAAATACGCACTACGCGATCCCCTTAGGCACCAAACCAAGATCCTTTTTCTCCCGATTACCAGGGTTGTTCCCGTTGAACCACCACCTTCACCACCACTACTACTACTATGACCATATCACCCATCCGGTCACCAAGCCGATATGATCCCTGTTCAGGATCAGGCCGTCACATTGCTCCATTTCTGTTGAACAAATGACCATCTCTTGAGAATGCAAACGGGATCACTGATCGGCCAAGTCTAGACCGTTTGTTTTCAGTACTTGCTTACCCCAGGGTGTGCAACCCTCAACGTGCCGTTATTTTTTGTGTTACTATTCTGGCCTCGCAACGTGGCCGAGAGGGTTGCACATACATAAGCCACTTCAACAGTGTGCTTCACCACCAGTAGGCATGGACAATTGTCATGTAGAGTTCAAGGACGAGTGTCTCACCGCCATGATATCGAGATCTGTGGGAGTCGGTCAGTGGATGACATTGCATGAGTGCATATGTACTAATTACGTCGGTGTACATCTGGAGACTTGGAGGGTGGGAGAAAAACGTTGGTGACGGAAAACGATATCCATGACGGCACCAGCTGGTCAAATCCGGTTTTTGTTTTTTCATTTTCTATAGTGAGCCTTTTCTTTCTATGTTTCCTTTAATTTCCCTTTGGTCAAATTCTCCTCTTTTTCAATTAGTAAAATTGTGAATTGAATCACGGTGTCATCTCTTCTCCGAATCAGCTAATTAAGGTACCATCGGAATCATTCACACCGCGTTTGCCGCTAGTCAAGGCACCGTCAACAATTTTTTACCCACCGTTTGTTTCTTCGTGTCTGCACCCAGTGGAAATAGGCAACCCTGATTTAATTATGTATATCTTGTTCGTATCAAGGTCGTCGATCCGACCGGGAATGGAGGAATGCAATCAGATCGAGGAGCCAAATTGGAGGGGGATGTGACAAGATACTGGAGGGGTGAAGGATGTGCCGTCACATTGGATACGCAGCCTTACTCCGTAGAAAGTTAAAAGCCGATCCCTGGCATTGAAACCGTCGTCAACCGCCTGTCAAAGGCTGTCATACCCTATTTTTTTCGTGGATGCTAGCCTTAGTACGCGACTAGTGGCTTCTTATGCCCCTCAACCTGGAACCGCCGTTTCCGAGAAAAGTCATCTGAAGGGACCGGAACACCAGGGCTTCTCTATTACTCGTCGTCTACCTCAATCTCACGCCAGGTCATTTTGTTGAGAGAAAAAAGGGAAATGTTTGGCTTAGCTTTACGGCCCTATCTGGCAGTGACACTATCAGATTGGTGATTTAAATTGCTCGAATTAGCATGAGCTGATTCATAAAGCCACTAAAACGGGTGAATCCGACTCTGGCCCACCACGAGCCCTACCTTCCTGTGCGTTCCTATGGTCGGATACAGCGTTCTTCTGAATCTTTCCGTGGTTCGGCGAAAAATCATGGCCACGATGTGATTCTGTATTTCAAAAGGGCGGATTTCTTTTCCTGTGTGGGGCGGGGGAAATTAAAAAAGCGAGATAGTGACCTCAGCTTCATCTTACCTACATACTCCTACCAAGTAGAATGACATTTTGTCGCTCACAATGTGTGGATCATGTCCTGCTGCCATGCATGAGAAGCCTGCAGAATTGGCAGCATCGAATACATTGATGAGTTGCGTCATGGATGGGGCCGCGCAGACCAGCTTGGGGGGAAATAATAATCGGACTGAACATAAACCCGGGAGCTTGTCAGGAACAGGACCAACCCGAGGCTACTCTCCTGCAATTGAGGCTGGGAAGGACAGGGAAGAAGAAAAGGTACTGTTCAAGTTGGTACTGTCGGATTAGGGAATGATTAGCCCTTGTTGTTAGCTCTCGACCAAGGGTCAAACCCCCAGTAGTACCCCGCCCAGGATATTAGTAGGTATAGTAAGGGAAGGTACTTTTTGACCTCTGTCAATGTTTTTGAATGACGCTGAGTTTAGTGCTATTCCCCTAAGGGTTGAAAGGGCTCAAAGGCTAAAAGCCCTAGGAGCGATTAGGGGGAGGGCCTCACACCCCCCAGAGCGGGCCGAAGACTGGCACCCGTCCAGACTATCAGACCCAATTGCTGCAAGCGGGGCGGCGGCCCGGGGAGCGCGGAAGGACCGTTTGTCATCAAAAGCAAAGTTCACGATCGCCCTGTGTTAGCGTGTCACCCAAAGTTCCAGACCCCCGCTGGCGTGCAACCACCGCCACTACCAGGTTGGACTCTCATCTCCAGATCGCCCTCTATGGTTGGTCAATGGCTTCGCATCTCCGCCAATAGACATAAACCGATCGGATCTTCTGGGATTTCGTTGATTCTCTTCCAGCGTCTCTGCCCGCGCGGAGCGATCCGATCCCTTGATGTACAAAAGTACCCCGAGATCCTCCTGTCTTAGCCATTCCCTGGGGGCTGACTACGGCCAGGGACAGCGGACCAAGGGCCAGGTTGATGGGTTGGGGATCCTTGCAAGTCGAGCTTAGTTTGATCCTCTCGGCGCCATGTTTACCGTCTATATTCAATTGATTCGTGAAGCCTGATGGCCGCTCCGAGTATGACAGCTTACTTCTAATCTACAGCACTTGTGCTTACGTAGGTCTGCGCCATCGCTCGTCGTCCTTTCAGCAAAAGTCGCGTACTAAGTACGAAATCACTGCCTTCCTCTCTAACTGAAACCTCAACAGAGATTCAACGACAGGGAGCTTTCGCACTCCGCTTCCTCTTTCAGCCAGTCACTTGACCTTCCGTCAAACCGGTCGAGGATTTGCCATTGGCGTATTTATAGAATTATACCCCAGTGCATTGTTCCTTAATTCTCCTTCCAAGGGACAATAAAAGTCCGACCGCGATAAGCAGCAATAACCGTGAGTTCTACAAATAGAAGCACAACGCAAATCCATTCCACTTGCGTCCGCTCAGTAAACACATGCTGCGGGATGTTTATTGTTCACTCCTTCCGGTTCACGTTTATCCACAAAGTACACATCCACGGCTCTGGATCAGCTGAATAGATCCATTCCGACCGGCCCGAGCCTGTGCAGGTCTTTGCATGCAGCGGTGGCTACGATGGGTAAGTGCGCATGTTGTACGACAATCCATCTGCACATCCGATATGATGGGTATACTGACTGGTTGAGACACAGCGGTTTAGATAATCAAATCTCCGATGGATGTGCGATTTGGAAGAGTGGGAAAAGCATTCGTCGGGTAAGGGCACCCCTACTAGCGCCGACCACGCGCCAGGGTTTCCTGTCCTTCCAAAAAGTGATACTTCCAACAGTGTTCGATCTTCCACGATATCCACAGCTTGCGATTGGCTTCGGCCGAGAGCCTGGTCGCTCGGTCGCCACAGTTCCTGGCACAGACATCATGGATCGCTTTGATCCTCCTTTTGTGTAACATCACAGCTGCGAGTCAAGTTCTAACCCTGTCCTTCGATCGCGAACGATGGATCCGCAGCGAACCGCAGCATGTCAAAACTCACACCAGCATCCTCAGGGACCATGGAACGATAGAACGAGTCCTTATGGTTCGCGCAACTTCCGCAGAGCTTATCCGGTGAGCGCAGTTGCTGTTGTTCCCAATCTGTCTGGGTCTGCTGGACGAGTCAAAAGTTTCTGTAACAGCTCATATCAATGGGGAAGCGATAGAGTTCGACGGTCCGCCAAACCCACCCAGATGCGAGTCACTCCGCTGGAGACTTCCAGAGACTCGCCCATGTGTGAACGCGGAGTAGAGTTTAGATTTGACTTCATACCACTCCCTTACTTCACCATAATCGCCATCCCCTAAAACCTCGTTTCGCATTTTAAGTGTATAGTTTATCATGGGTAGAGTTTCGCGGTCGGGCACCTGACTTTCCCACCCGCGCCTATAGAAACCCACTGCCGAGATCGCGCAAAAAGTCTGCAGTCATATGCATTAGCTCCGAAGCTATCTTACTCGAAACATCCCTGTCTGGGGCCTCTGACTGGCGCAAAACAATAGCATGGTTAGCCGGGTTGTGGAGCTCGCCTGCATGGCCGTGTCCGCTGCCATGGCATTTTTCGGAGCTAACCCTCCATCGCGCATGATTCAAGCGCGCATGATTTGCCCGTCCAGTGCTCGCTAAGCCGACTCAGGTCTGTGAACCACGAGGCTGGGTCCATGATTGGTCCCAGGAATCACTATAGAGTAGGGATGATCCATGTATTTGGAATGCCGATCGCTTGATATCAGATTTCCAGTTTCCTCTTTGGTATTGGCGAAAAAAAAAAAAAAGAGAGAGAGATCTGATCTGGTACTTTGTCATTCTTAAGGAGAATTCCCTCCCAAAAAAAAAAACATATTATTAGTTATTTTTGGTTTCTTTGCTTTTGTTCGTTATTTCTTGCTTTTTCTGTCAACGTACCTTAGCGTTCTTTCGTTCCCACCCACCGCCGTCAATCTCCCCACACTTCACCGAATATCCCCTTCGCTTGGACTTCGGCCCTAGCTTTGACGCAGCCTCCTTCCAGATCCAGTTATCACCGCCTAAAGAATGGTGACGTGCTCGACTGGAAATTATTTCCAGTCCACGAGTATCCAGGCAAGCGATCTACACTGCAGGATCTGCACAGGAGATAGCCTGTCTCAGCGTCTGGGGATGTCGCTCGGCATTACTCGGAGGTATACCCTGGGTGCATACATCAAGACATCTGCACAGGACAGTGAAGTATAACATCACCGGAGGATCTGGGTCAAGAGAACTCTGAGACAATGACAGTTGGTTCCATCTAACGGTAGGCGACTAGGCCTTTTCCCGCCGGAGAATATTGAATTCCCCCACTCAAATATACTTTCCAACTACTGTACGAATGTACCGTAAAAAGAAAAGGAAACTCGAAAAAGAAAAAAAAAGAAAAAAAAAGAAAATAGGAATAGGAAAGAGAAAAAAAAGCAATGAGATCACAGCAACATTGACAGGTCAACGTTCTAACGACTTCCAACGACCTGCGCCATCCGTAACCGGGAAACTCGAGATAACGACGTGAGTTTCGTTTCAGGTTTTTGTCATTCTTCATCACTCAGGATGGCCTCTCCACCTATCGATCTCCCTCGTCCGTCTCCGCTCGAGGCGACTAAAGTATGTATGATAAAGTTTTTTGCGCTTCCTCCACTTCCCCGTTCTCCTGATTTCCTGGTACGCCCAAAGTACCATGCATAAGGGAGAGAAATGGTCCAGTTCGGTTCAAGACCTGAAGTGATTTGCAAAAATGGGGGAACGGAGATATTTCTAAACTGAGCAACACTACTGCGAGGCGATTGGCTTGGGATCTGCACGGGACCAGGGGTGCCCTTCTATTGGAAACTCTTACTTTGTCTGTCCTGCGCCTTGGGGCGAATATTTGATTTGATATGATGATGGAGCTATTGTCCGGAAAAGCATACCGATGGGTTCGTTGGTTCGAGACGCTCAGACAATTTTTCCCATTTGCTACTCCATCCTGACCCAGGACCTTTGACCTTAACACAAGTAAGCAACTGGGGAAGAATCACCAGAGTTTGGAAAAACCTTACCCACTGCACAAAGGCATTGGGAAAAGAAAAAAAAAAAAAAACCATAACAGTGGATTAACACCCAAGCCACATCCCCCTCCCAAAGCTAATCTCAAACAAGACACTTCCATCGTGGCTGAAATGCACCATCCATGTCAGTCCGGCTGCAGAGCTCCACCACTCGCTGCGGCTGGACAAATAGACCACAGCCAGCTGTCAAGACCCATTAAACTACTGTAGGTTATAATGGAGAATCTTCGACGTTGGTTCTACCTGTACGAAAAGGAGATGTTCGCCTTCGCTTGGGGGAGGAATTCCGGAGCATTGTGTAGCTGACTCCAATTTACGTCCGCTTTTTTTTTTACCCTCGGGTACGAGCGTGCCGGCGTTCCCGCTGCCCCGGCGTCAACAACCCTGGTGGACGATGATGAATCGACTGAACTATCAGCAGCGCGCGGAGGGAAAAATGGGTGGGACTGACGCAAGGAATGGATCAATTTGAATCTCTAGTGGCTGACCGGACTGCGATCTCGTTAAGACGAAACGGCCCGAGCGTTTTCTATCATGTTTTACCTGCTTACTCTTTGCTGACTGTGGTTCACCTTCTGCTCTGGACCGTCATGCAGGTCCCTGGAAGGATTAGAAATTGGGCGATGATACAGGTACCTGCAATGATATGAATTATGTCGCAGCAGTCAGATATTATGCGGTACAGTCAGGCCCAGATCTCAACATTCTCATACATAGTACTCCGTAAATTCAATATACAAATACTTTTTAGCCAAACCATCCAATCCCAATCCCCCCCTCCAAATCGAGACAACACCACAAAACCCTATCTCTCTTCCCCATCTAACTCTTGTCTTTCTCTTTTCAAGATATAAAATTCCCCCCCAGTCGATCCCTTCCCCTTCCCCGAGACGTGCAAATCCCAAACACCGACGGAGATCCCTGCCACCAACCAAATCCAGCGCATCAATGCCCACTCCGTCCTCAGATCCCACGATGGACCGCCCCAAGTCTGCACGCCGCTGAAAACAGCCATCGAGTGGATAACCACTACCCACGACTCCCTCCCACTGAAGAACTCAAAGGCCCATCCTCTGACCCGATTACCAGGTCGCCCGGGGACGGGCCATGCAAGATCGATTTCCGGCTGGGCTAGTGCGATCCCAGCTTTTTGTTCGTGGCCGCGATGGGGCTGCTAAGTTGCGATGAGGCTTTCCGTGTGGCCTGTCGAGGTGGCTAGTTTAGTTTCCCCTAGTTATATCCGAGTTTTGTCCCTCTCTCTCTCTCTCTCTTTTCTTCTCTCCACCTATTTCTCATTCCTCTTGAGGAAGTAAAGTACGAAGTCTAGGTACAGAACAGGGAATTGATCAAAAGATGAATGGAATTGGAAGACTCACGGAGTCTATGATGTCGCGCCGACATCTAGTGAGATTTAGTTTTTCCCGGTCCACTATCATAGTGCGCAACCCACAGTGATAGTTAACATAGTTAACTACTTAGTCAACGACTTAAACTACGGATACAAAGTCCGCTCCTCCATGGCCTATGTAATGGACCCCCCCCCCTTCCCCCTCTTCATAATAAGTAGTATGAATTTATGAATATTGTTTTCGGTAATGTATTGTACTTTTTTTCTTTTTTTTTTTTTTCCTTTTATACATACATTCGTAAACCCCCATCGCCACGCGAGATACGGTATACGATCATCGGTGATTATTGAAAATTAGCACAAAGCCTCATGCTAAAGCCACCAAGCAAGGGGGCGAACTCAAATATCCCCGGGCCATGGCGCCTGTTTCCCCCCGATACGTAAAGAAGATGATGAATTTTTAATTTTTAATTGTTCGAAAACACGAACATGAAGCAAGGCAATCGATCGCAGGTGGCAGTCAGTTTTCGGGAATATTTGGGGGTGAGGGGGAAAAAAAAAAAATCCTACGGATACTATCTATAGAAATTGGCAATCAATCCTTTGTGAGGAGGAACTGGAACTTCTGTGCGCGCGCGCGCGCGTGGCTGGCAGGTGATTAGATTTCTGAAGTTAATATTGCCGGGGGGGGAGGAGCCAATCGTGGGGGGAAAGAATCTGGTTTGACAATGTATTTCTTTTTGAAATGTTATTTGTTTTTGTTTTTGGTTTTGGTTTATTTGCTAGAAGGTTGTGGTTTTCTGCGGGGTTGGAGTGGCTGGTAGTTGTTTTTTCTCGGTGTGTGTGCTCCGTAGTAAGAAGAAGTATTAACCTCTTGTTGTTTACTGATCGGGAAGTTATGCTCGGCATAATTAGGTGCTATTTCTCTTGCCCGTTTGGGGCTTGCGATTTCATTTCTAATCAACATCGGGTGGCTCCGACTGCCTACTTAGTCCTGCAGTGTGTCCTTTTCAATGGTTGAAGGTATGCAGATAATTGCTGCAGTGACTGACAGGGGATCCCCTACACCGCCATTGTTGACACATCGATTTTTCGTGTTTTGCTTCTGGCGAGAGTTGGTCTTCCATCCGAGTGGAAATAAATGGCACGTGAATTCGCAATTTTACTCTTGGTTGACTATGTGCAATAGGTACAGGGCTTTTTCAGTATAGGGGAGACATCGAAAGTAAAAAAGGCAACCACACAATTAATTAAATAAACTCCTTCCGACGCCATGGGTACGAAGCGATCATCGACCCGTACTTTTGGTTCCTCGTCTGAAAAGAGAAAAGCTGCGAATGGATCGGCTCTCTGTGATCTTGCCGAGCTCGTATAAGAGAGGGATAGGGCCCTTGATCCTTCATAAACCCCTCTCCCGTGCGCACAGACACTTAATGGATCGTTTAGTGTCGCTGGTGCATGCAAGTTCAGCCAAGATGCGGTCATCCTCTTTCTCACCTGGGTCTCCTACGAGGTCCAGATTCGAGAGATCGGCCCGAGATTAGAGAAAAGCCTCTCTCGCTTTGGCCCAGCCACTCACATGTCTTCGCCACGGTGGGAGTGAAGCCGGCAATTATTGCACCAGGGCAAGTCCTTCGTTATCAAGCAGACCCGCTTCCTTGACAAGTTCATAGAATTTGCCGCCGGACTTAATCAGATTGGCAGGTGTGTCAAATTCGGCCACTCGGCCCTTGTCCAGCACAACAATTCGGTCAGAATCGATGATCGTGTTGATGCGATGTGCGATAGTGATGATAGTGCGATCCTGGAAGATGCTACTGCGCAAGGTGCGTTGCAGTAATGCATCTGTTTCCACATCCACGGCCGCCTAAAGTCACCGTTAGTAAATACCAAAAAAGTAAATCCGAAGGAAAAGGCGGTAGAGGGAAAAAACGGTGTGGCAAACTGGCCACTTACTGTTGCTTCATCAAGAACCAGAATATTGCTGGGAGTCAACAATGCCCGTGCTAGAGACACTAGCTGACGCTGGCCTTGACTCAGGTTGGATCCTGTTGGTGCCATGTTAGTCCAGCCCTAGGAAATTCCAACGTCACGCGGCTGCAAGCGCGAAAAGCGGCCAAATTCTTACCTCCTTCTTGAATTCGGGCATCCAGCTGGCCGTCCATGCTTGCAACGTGATCTTTCAGTCGTGCATGCTCTGCGAGTTAACGGGTCAGTCAGCCATTCACTTTCTCCACATGCAAAGAGGCGAGCCCAACGTACCGAGCACACTCCACAGCTCTGTGTCATCATGCACATGACGAGGGTCCAGGTTGTCCCGTACGGTGCCCTCAAACATGGCTGGGTCTTGGGGAATGATGGCGAGGCGGCCTCGCAAGTCAAACAGGCCAATAGTAGACACATTTAGCCCATCAATGCTATCAATCAAGTTAGCGCAGCGCCAGCGTCAACAGTCGGGCACTAGGACTCACCTAATACTGCCACCATCTGGCTCAATGATGCGGAAGAGCGCCAGAGTAAGGGAACTCTTTCCTGCACCCGTACGGCCAACAACACCAATCTTCTCGTGAGGCTTGATATCAAGGTTGATATCCTTAAGCACCAGGTCGAGCCCAGGACGGTACCGTGTGCTGTAGTTTTTGAATGACACCGCGCCTTGCGCCGGCCAGCCAATGGCGGGACGGTGCTTGAATATCACCTCAGGCGCTTCACTTGGGAGGCTAGCGTACTCCAGAACACGTTCCACGGACACGATGTTCGTCTCGACCTCGACCGTTTGACGGACGATCCAGTTCAGAGACTGTGTAATTTGGAGGGCGTATGACATGGCCAAACCAACCTTGCCCGGTGATATACCGCTGCCAGTAGCAACGGCGATGACAGAAAGCCCTGCAGAGGCCAGAATAATGATTGAACCAATGAATTCAAGGCGGACTGCCAACCACCTATTCGCACTAATGGAAGGGAAGTAGGCGCGAAGGTTCTCATCCATTCGCCACTCATTTTCGAGTGTAAATCTGTTTTCCTGCTTATACGCGCGGATAGTCGAGATGCCTCCAAGAGATTCTTGGAAATGAGCGTAGATGGGACTGCGCGTAACACTATCCAACCGCTTCAATTCTCGGGAAGTCCGCAGGTAATACTTTTGATAACTTAGATAAATGTAGCTCAAAGGAACGACCAAAATGAGGAACGCAGGCGTGGACGATGCGATAACGCCCATCGTAAACAGTGCTTTTGCAGAGTTTCCAAACAACTAAAATTGAGTTAGCCCCAAGTTCTGTGTAAGAAGATGTAGGGCTTACCATGTTAAATGTGCGCGCAAGGACTTCATCAATACGATATACATCGCTATAGCAAGATCTATCAGTTTCCGAATACAACGCGTCAGCCACGCACACTCACCTTGAAAACCTATTGAGGATTCTTCCAGACGGTGTTGTTTCAAAGAAGCTCATGGGTGATCGGAAGATTGCGAATGCCATCCTCTCATGTAATTTCCGAGATGCCTGTTAATGTTCATCAATATGGTCACGGTCTGCATTAGCCAGAGAGCTAAGGGTAAACGTACTTCAATTGAGCAGAAGATCCATAGAATGAGATTCTGGACTATAACTAGGATAGACGATCCTAGTCCAAAAGCTAGGTAAACGCCGATGAATTTACCAACATTGGGGTTTACTTGCACTTCGCTAGCCTCTGACCAATATTTGAGCCAATAGCTGCCAGCGACCTGTGCTGTTTGTGCACCCAGAAGAGTAGCAAGGTAGAAGCAGACGGCGACGATATTGCTGTTCTTGGCATATTCCATGTATACACTCCACTTGACTTTGCCTTGCTGTGAGGTTTCTTGAGTTTGTTTGCTCTTCAAGACATTCTCCTCGTCTCCTAACTTGCGTCTAGGGCCTTTCCAGCTAACGGTACTGGCGCGTCGCAAAGTCACAGTACTTGTTCTCCGGTTGGCACCAGATCTGATGGGCAGGAGTGAACCAATTTCCTGTTCGGCTTCGTCGGTGTCCGAAAGCTCATCGGAGTCTGCGTTGTCAATTATCGTGGTAGAGTCCGAGCTTTCGGGACTAGCAAGACCATTATCACTCGAGTTATCATCGTCCGAATCGTTCATAGTAGTACGAATGAGATTAGCAACTTCGCCCTTCATAGCCAGCAGCTGTTCATAGGTGCCCTTTTCAACCAAAGTCTTGTCTCGTAGCAACCCGATGAAATCCGCCTCCTTCAAAACGGGAATGGCATTGGTCGCAAGGATTCTCGTCTTGCTACCGAGAATTCCACTTGGTCCGAGGACTTTGTTGATAAGGTGCCGGCCCACGTGCTGATCAACTGCCGATAGAACGTCG